GGAGCGGAGCGGGGGCAGAGCCGAGCTGCGCGATCCCGGCGCCCTCGCCGCGCTCCTCCGGGCCCCAGCCGGCCCTCGCCGGCAGCGGCGCGTCCTCCAGCGGTGGCAGCGGTGCTCGCAGCGCCTGGTAAGTTTGGGGACGGAGCCAGGAGCCCGTTAGCCCCAAGGCTTTCTTCGGCTCCCCGCAGATTCTGAGGTGCGAGCGTGGCGTGCTGAGCGCTGGGGCTTTTCCCTTCAAGGGTCCTTCGGGTCGGGCGGGTGGCCCGCAGCGCGGCTCGCTGCACTCCCCGCGGTGGCCGGGGGCGGAGGCCCGGGCAGCTGCCTGGCGAGCGCCCGGCTGCGCCGAGCCGGCTCGGGCTGCGCGCAGGGGCCGGAGCTCCGGGCGTGCGGAGCGCGAGTGCGGTAGGCAGTGCGTGCGCGGACCGAGCCCACCTCACGCCTCTTGCCGGCGCTCCTCCAGCCCAAGCCTAGAACCCCGGGAACCAGACCGACCGGGCTCGGAAGAAGGGAGTAAGGAAGGCCGGGGAAGGACCGCTTCAGACTCCTTTACCTCCTTTGGAGCGATTTGAAGTTGTGCTTCTGTGTGCGTACTGGGACCGCCGGAGAAGGCGCGGGATTTCGGGGTGGCGGGGGATAGTGGTGTTAAGTTATGCATCTGAATTTCTAGGGAAAACGTACACTTTTGTAAATGCGAGGTGGGGGCGCGGTTAAGTTGGTTGTGTGGGAATGGCTGGGGGAAACGGCGCGCTGTGCGGAGCAGGGAGCGCCGAGGGGTGTGTAGAGGTGGAGGGGGTTCTAGTGGGGCTTTTGGAAACCCGTGGGGCTTTCGGGCCCACGCTTGATGGGGGCTGCCCCAGCCAGGAGAAGAACCCAGAGAGGGGGAAGATGTGCATGTATGCGCGCGCGCGTTGCAAATACGAAAGTAATTTCCCCGTGTTCTTTCTTCCTCTCGGTCTCTGGCTGCAGTGGCCCCCGGGGAGTGGGAGGCTGGCCCCGGGGCGGAGGTTATGGGGCCTGACGGGGGCTGGTGCTGGGGTCGTAGGTGGGGCGAACTGTGTGTGGGAGCTTGCTTCACATTCCTGGCGTCTGTATTAGGAGAAAACAGTGGGGAGCGCGGCCTCGGCGGCTGGGGCGCAGGCAGCGGGCGCGCGTCGCCCCCTCGCCGGGGACATCTGTCCAGGAAGCCGACCGGGCAGCGAGAGGGCGCGATGCGGAGGGCAGGCTCCCCGCCCCGGAGCGGTGGGGGCGCGGGCGAGGGGCGGCAGCCTTCCCGGCCATTGTGCGCTAGCAGATTTTCACGGGAGACTGCCCCGGAGCCGCCGGAGAAGGCCGGGAGCCGGCCTCAGCCCGGGGTTTAAAAGACACTCCAGGAATGTAAACAACCCAGGCGGGAGGGCGGGCGCTCGGGAGCGCGCCGGGGCCGCCGACCGGGGCCCCCCAGCCCTCCCCGGGGGACAGCCCGGAGACAAGGCCTCCTGGCCTTACCCCTCTACCTGTCCCAAACTTTTCCCTTCCCAGCCCTCCTCTTCCACCTCTCCCCTCCAGCTGGGCGCGGAACGAGTACGTCTCCCGGGCCGAGCCCCAGGGCTTCGGGCACCTCGCGCGGATCGTGAGAGCCTGGCGTCCGGGTCTTTTCTAGGGTGCCGGGAGCTGGGGCCGCTCTGTCCGCGAGCAGCAGCTTCCTAGGCAAGCAGTGGCCGAGTGGGGCTCCGAGCCTGCCGCCTGCCTCCTTCCCTCCCTCCCTCGTCCCCCCCCGCCACTGCTCCCCCCTTCCCCACTCCCCTCACTGCTTTTCCAATGCCCTGACATGAGGGAGGAAGATTTAACTTGGCAGCCCAAACAAATGTTCTCTCTGAGGTCCTCCAAGAAGCTGGCGGCTGGGCAGGCGGGGTGAGGGCAGCGCTCGGCCAGCTAGTCCCTCCTTCTCAGTGCTGACTGGGGTTTTTGCAGCCCCCCCAAGACGGACGCCTAGGGTTCTGGGGGAGTGGAGCCCACCCCTGCAAATTTGAAAGGGCAGTGGGCAGCGCGGAAGTCGCGGCGGGGCACTGCGTGGAGGTGGGGCCGAACTGCCCCGGTGCCAAGGGTTTTCTGAAGGGTTTCCTTGAGCAACAGTTTGCCTCCCTGCTGCAACCTGGGAACCGGGCCTGGTAGACCAGAGGGTTAACTAGTGCAGTCTCCTCCTCCGCCGGCTGTGGGTGTGAGGACAGGCTGGTTACACAGGGCAGGGCAGGAGGCCAGAGGCTGTTCCCAGAGGTGCCTGGGTTTGCTTATTGTTTTTGTGAAGTAACAGATAAAGGGCCAGGCAGAGGGACTGGAGAACCCGGACGGACGGCAGCTTGGCCGCTGCTGAATTTCAGCTTGCTTCCTCCTGCCTTTGCCTGGGCCCAGGAGGGGAAAAGTTGCTTGTGAGGGCTCTGGGAAGTTTAGAGGAGGGAGCGACCCCTGGCTTTCTCGGTTCTGGGGGCCTTTTGAGGAGAGTCCCAAGGAGGAACAATTCCTGGGCTTTTGGGTCTGCGAACACCCCAAGCAGTGCTGACCTTTCCCCCTTCAAGTTGAGGATGTTGAAACAGCAGCATAAAACAAAAGACACATTGAAAGCCCTATCAGCCAGGGAGCACGTGTGTCTTGGGGCGGTGGGGTCTCTTAGAGAGAAGTGTTTCCTTCCAGGGAAGTTTTATGATTTGGTGGTGTTTTGTTTTGTTTTGTTTTGTTTTGTTTCTCCCCCCACCCCAAAGTACAAAGGCATCTGAGGAATCAGATGGGTTATGAATGCTGTAAATCTCAAAAGTTGCCACTCAAGTGGGCTTGTTGGTGGCAATGGCTGTGGGGAGCAGCTAGGTAGGGAGGCTCTCGGAGTTGGGCTGGAGATTTGAGGCTCACAGAGAAGAGTGGGGAAAGAAATGGCTGGACTTAGGAAATCCTTTGAATAAACAGCCTTGTCTGCAGAAGAGACACGCTGCTGGCTAACAGGATGTCTTTTCCCTTCTAAGGAAAGCGGGGAGACCCAGGGGCAAAACGAAGAAGAAAGGCCCAGGAATGAGGTTCTGGCCACGGGTCTCACACACACACACACACACACACACACACACCCCTCTCTAGCTACAATACATAACAGCATTCTCTCTGTCCCTGACACTCACAGAGATAACCCAACACAGGACAGGTGTCCACAAGTTGACTCATGATAGAACATGATGACCGAGCTGAGAAGCCCTGCAAACTTTACTTTTCTCCTTGATGGACAGGGTGGGTAAAGAAGGCAGACACTTTGCGGCCAATGGCGGGCCTTCCTAGGAAGCCAGGGCTACTGTGTTGTCTGGTCTTGGCCAGGGCCCAGGGTCTGACTGTGACCCCATCTCAGGGTAAGGTATCATGCTAAGAAACCCAGGTACCCCAGGCACCGACAAGTTAATCTTGGGAAGCATCTGTGGGCCCCTGTCTTGGGACCAGGAAGTAGGGCCTGCTAGGTGGAGACTGGGTCCTGTACAGTTTCATTCATAAGTCTGTTCCCCTGGGCCCTGGCCAGGGTCCTGTCGCTGCTGCATCTCTATGAGGTTCCTGGGTTTGTGTGGACAACAAAGGCCAGGCTGCTGTAATTACCCAGGACGCTGCTGCGGCCTCGCCTGGTAACTGCCCTGACCTCTCTGCAGGACACAGTGGCCTCTGCCTGCGCCCTCTGAGGGGGGAGTGTGTGCTCTTTGTCCTCAAAAGCCCTGACTGAGGCCAGAGAGGGCAGCCTGTTGGGTCTCTGAGATCCAGCAGGGAGACAGGGACAGGACTGTACCCTCAAGGATGGAGGGAGGCAGAGAATACCAATGCCAACAATCTGGGAATAGGCCTTGATATTGTCACCAATTCATCCTGTGGTAATTGGATTTTCCCATTATCAGTGGAGATAGAGGGGAGGAAAAGGTGGCAGGAGGCTGCAGCTTGCTGCCTGCTATAGGCCAATGAGTTTATTCTGCTAGACCTCAGTTTCCTGATCTGTAAAGTGGGTTCAAGGGAAGAACGCTCACTGTATCATTTAGCTGCTAGGCAGGTGGAGCATATGTGGGCGTGGGCCTCTGAAGGCTTAGCAGGCCCTGGTATAGAATGGATAGAGAGCATGAAGGGGCTGGTTTTGGGATGCTAGAAGCATGTTCCAAAAGCTGCCTGCCTATCAGTGCTTTTTGTCAGCTTGCATGCCCCTGTGATAGGCACTGATAGCCCCTGTGCTGCCTTCAGAGCCCAGCTGTGTTAGCATGCAGAGCTGTCTGGAAATCCAGAGCTTTCAGTCTTCAGCCTGGGCTTGAGGGCTGAGGGCCTTTCAGACCACACTTTTTTTTTTTTTCCCCTGAATGATCGTGGCTTCAAGATTTGCATCTACATTGCCATGGGGAAAGGGACCCCTTCCAAGTGGCTACTTCCGGGGCTCATTAGCAGCACATTGGGAACAGCGGGGAAGGGTCTCTCTGAGGGGTTCACTGTCACCCACCTTTGGGGGCCAGGTCTGCCTCTTGTCACTTCCCTTAGAGCTGGAATGACAGGGCAGGGGCCCCACAGTTCCTGTTCCTCAGGAGCTGACGTCTAGCAAGGGCAGGAAGATCAGCCCAAATAAATAATTCACCACCAGCTGGCCACCTGCCACGGGCATGTGAGGACAGGAAGACATAGAGCCCCTTTCCCTGGTGGCACTTGGTGGCTGTACTATAGATTTGTTCCCCAAATTTGCTTAGCCTTGATAACAACAGCAGGAGCTTACTGCTGGTTGGGATTGCCCCCATTGAACAGAGAAGAAAACGGAGGCTGGGAGAGGTCAAAAGACTTGAGGCAAAGCCAGGACTCAGCTGGCATAAGCTCTTCATGCTATGCCCATCATGGCCCACAGAGTGGGAGCCCTGGGGGCTCAGGTACAGGAGCCAGTGTGGACCGCAGGAATGGGAGGAGCTGGCATAAGAGAGAGGCTGCAGGTGGGCCTCAGCTGTCCACCTGCCCCCGCTGGGCAGCAGGGTGTACCGTGCTTGAGGCACAGTTTCTTGCAGCTGGAACTTGTGCGGATCCTTATGCATTGCCTTGACCACTCCTGGGCTTCTGCATAGCGTGTTCACCTTTGGCCGGGGCTCTAGAGCAGGACGCAGGTATTTCCAG